CAGCGCGCTGGGCCCCATCCGGCGTCTTAGCCCCACGTGCTTCCAGCCGCTGGGCCCAGGCAGCTCAACCTTGGCCCAGCCCCCCACTGCCCTGGCCAAACGGGCTAGTTCTGGCAGGAGAGGGGCACAGTAGGGTGGGGGGCGTATTGCCACAGGCCTGTGTCTGGGGAGGAAAGGCACCTGGCTTCTGGGGGGCAGGAGCAAGGCCCGGGCTGCTGCTGAGGCAGGGTGGCTGCAGCGTGGTGGGCCAGTCCATAGCCCCTGGGAACGCCTGGACGGGGTGTGGGGGTTAGTCCTAGGACGTGGGGAGCATTTAGCCCCTCCCTGCTCCCCATCTGCCAGGACCTCGCCTCCCCAGGCTCCTTGCTCCCACCTACCCAAGGTGTTAGGCCCTGGGAGCAGGCCTGGCTGGTAACCCTGCATGGGGCTCAGGACCAGCACACCCCTAACCGCTCGCCCCCTCTCTTTGCAGGTGCGCACCCCAGACATGGGGGGATACGCCACATCCATCGACTTCACCCGTGCCGTGATGGCAGCCCTGGCCGACTAGGCCCCCGCACTGCTGCTCACCCCCTCCCGCCGCTTGGTAACTCAGGGCCGGAGAGGCCCGGCTGTCATGCATAATAAAGGAGCCTGCTGGCCACAGCTGCTGCAAGGGCTCTGCCACCAGGGGCAGCTTGATTGCTGGGCCCACCCCAGGGCCTCCGACCCGGAAACACTTGTAGCCACTGCTTGGGCAGCAGGCCCAGACCAGGGGAAGGGCACTTGGTGCAGGATCAGGGGGCCCCTGCTCTCTCCTGAGCTAAGCTCTTTCCCCGGAGGGGCAGGGAGACAGCCCAGGCATGGCTCTCAGCTAAGCAGCCAAGCAAGCACAGCCCTGAAAAGCCATTGGGCCCCTGCTCCCATTTTCTGCTGGCCACCCCCAGTGCCTGCTGCCAGCTCTGATCCCAGGGTGGGCCAGGCTGCACTCCTGTTCTCCCCCACCTCCGCGAGCAATAAGGGGGTCTGAACACGGGCACTCCAGAGGGCCTGACGTAGGGCCTGGTTGCTTCCACAGCTTGAGGGCAAATGTTAGGGGAAATAAAGTCCCAAGCCAGCCTGCTAGCACAGCCACAGGGACATCAGCTCGCTGGGCAGTCACACCTGCCAGTTCATCCTCCCCCCCCGGGGCTGAGGGAAAGGGTAGGGGCAGTCCAAGGCCTGGCTAGGGAGACAAACTGACCCGGTAGGGGAAGAGCATAGAACAAATGCTCAGGACTCTGTGGTGCAGGCCGAAGGGGGCTGATTAGTGCCCTACGTCGAGAGTCTACCCAGGAGACCAAAGCCCTCTAGGATGTGCTGGGTGGCTGCTTTGCTCGGCCTCCCACGCAGAGCAGCCAGGCAGAGCTGGGGCCCAGGCTCTTATGCCGCAAACTCTGCCTTGAGCTCAAACAACCAGAGGCTTGAAAAACTGGAGCCGTTTATTGTTGGTGGCTGTTTCAGGCACAGGTGGGGCCAGGCAGCTGTTCCACACACCCTGCGTCCACGGGAACGTCCTGTGCAGAGGACGGTGCTCAAGGCCGTACTGGGTACGGGCCTCACGTCCAGCTGTGCCAACCGACACCCCCAGGCCAGCACGGGCACCTGCCCAAGCAGTAACTGTCTCGGCTAGGTTAACACAGGTGCCGCAGATCCAGCTTCTCGCCCGAGCAAGCCCACAGCACCCAGCAGACTCAGGAGGCATTAATGCAAGCTGCCCCGGGCACGCTGGGACACGCAGCTGCCTCAAAACGCTGGACAAGCAACACAGCTGAGAGGCAGGAAGGAGTGTCCTGCCAGCCTGCGGGTGGTCAGTGCGGGCCCTGCAGCGCAGGCCTGGGCTGTCCCACGGTGAGACGGGGGAGCAACCCTGCCTAGTCCTCATCTTTGAGCTTTTTCTTCTTCTTCTTCTTGTCCGGCTGGGCGGGCTCTTCCTGGGCTAGTTTCTTTTGCTTCTTGGGCAAAGGCTCTTCTCCCAGCCCGTTCTCCTCCAGCAAGGCCTCCTGCTTCCGCTTCTTCTTCTTCTTCCTGGGCTCCGCGTCGTTTGCCTGAAGCCAAAAGCAGGGTGAGAGGAGGCCCTGGGGAGGGCAGCCAAGCAGGACCAGGGCTACACTGCAGCTCGCAGTGACCACATGGGTCTCCAGGTCTGAGGCCTAGCGTACCCCGAAGAGCTACAGGGCCACATGGACAGCTGCAGCGAGGGCCCTGCTTGTGGCAGCTGGGCAGGACAGCTTTCCCCTCCCTCCCTGCCATGTTCAGGCCCCGGCTGCACTGCTGAGGGCAAGTCTGCTCTTGGCCTTTCACCCAAAGCCAGTCCCCAGAGGGGAGGGGGGGGGCAGAGAGAGGAGTCTCAAAACGGGCACTGCAGCTGCCCGGCAATCCAGCATGCTGCCCGGAGCTCTTGGACGTTGCCCCCAGGCTGGAGGGAGTCGGGACCCCACAGGAAGCTGGGCCCAGACCCACCAACAGGCAGCACTAGCCTACTGGGGCTCCAATTGCATTCGCTTGTCCTCCAAGTGCTTGGCCACCCTCTATGGCAGGCCAGCCTGAGTGTGCCAGCAGCTGGGAACCTGGGCTCCACCAGCAGAGAGAGGGTAAGTTTAGAAGACAGGATACACAAAGAACAAGTCAAAAATCACTTAGGAAAGTTAGATGTCAGCAAGTCACCAGGTCCTGATGAAATGCATCCCAGGATACTCAAGGAGCTGATAGAGGAGGTATCTGAGCCTTTAGCTATGATCTTTGAAAAATCATGGCAGACAGGGGAGATTCCAGAAGACTGGAAAAGGGCAAATATTGTGCCCATCTATAAAAAGGGGAATAAGAACAACCCAGGAAACTACAGACCGGTCAGTTTAACGTCTGTCCCAGGGAAGATAATGGAGCAGGTAATTAAGGAAATCATATGCAAACACTTGGAAGGTAATAAAGTGATAGGGAATAGCCAGCATGGGTTTATGAAGAACAAGTCATGCCAAACTAATCAGATAGCTTTCTTTGATAGGATAACGAGCCTTGTGGATAAGGGAGAAGCGGTGGATGTCATATACCTAGACTTTAGTAAGGCATTTGATACGGTCTCGCATGATATTCTTATTGATAAACTAGGCAAATATAACTTAGATAGGGTTATTCTGCCGCTCTACTCTGCACTAGTTAGGCCTCAGCTGGAGTACTGTGTCCAGTTCTGGGCGCCACATTTCAAGAAAGATGTGGAGAAATTGGAAAGGGTACAGAGAAGAGCGACAAGAATGATTAAAGGTCTAGAGAACATGACCTATGAAGCCAGGCTTCATGAACTGGGCTTGTTTAGTTTGGAAAAAAGAAGATTAAGGGGGGACATGATAGCGGTTTTCAAATATCTAAAAGGGTGTCACAAGGAGGAAGGAGAAAATTTGTTCCTCTTGGTTTCTGAGGACAGGACAAGAAGCAATGGGCTTAAAGTGCAGCATGGGTTCTGTTGTACAGCTGGGACCTAGCCCCCTCTCCTTGCCTGGAGGCCTGAAAAAATTCCTGTCAGGGTGGTCAAATATTGGAATAAATTGCCAAGGGAGGTGGTGGAATCTCCCTCTCTGGAGATATTTAAGAACAGGTTAGATAGACATCTGTCAGGGATGGTGTAGACGGAGCTTGGTCCTGCCTTGAGGGCGGGGGGCTGGACTCGATGACCTCTCGAGGTCCCTTCCAGTCCTATGATTCTATTCACATGGGGCGAGCGCCCAGAGCTGCCAGGCCTGTCTGCCAGAGGCGTCTGGGGGCCGCGCTCCATACGGCCCAGAAACACAAACAGCTTCTCCAACACAACGCCCCTCTGCCACTCAGGGCAGCCTGCTCCGGTGCCAGGGATCAGAAACCGCATGGTTCCCAGACCGAGGCAGGCGGGGGACGCGCCCGAGCCCATCCTCCCACTGCTGGGACAGGACCGGTCACTACCACGAATGGGGATGGAAAGGCCAGTGGCCAGAGCTCCCTTATTCCTGGGACTTTACCTCAACAGTTGTCTCCAGCACAGAGCTCTCTGCTTCCTCTGCAGCCGCCACCGCCAGGGCTGCCAGCCGCTTCTTCTCCCGCTTCTTCTTCTTCTTCTCTTTCTTCTTGATTTCGGCAGCCACCTCAATAGCCTGGCGGAGGGACAGCAGAGGCTCCGTCAGCACTGACAATGCCCAGCTGCACCCGGGCAGGGACTGGAGCAGGTCTTGGATCAGCCTCATTAAATCAGTTTTTGCCTCCACCAGCTGGTCAGGCAGGAGATTTCGCATCATGTCCAGCACCTGCGTAGGGCCCCGCAGCCCCTCTTACCTCCACAATGGCCTCCTTCATGACCTCGAGGTTCTTGCGAGGCGGCTCTCCTGTCTCGTAGAAGGCCAGCCGCTCCTCCACCTGCTCCCGGAGCTTGTCCCCAAAGACGCTCGTCGGGACTTCTGCAGAGGGAGCGGTGTGAATCCCAGACTGCAGCCCCGCCCCCCCACAAACCCTGCCCTGCCCCCCAGCCCTGGAGCCGGCTTTGCTCAGAAAACAGGTTGTCACCATTCACTATGTGAAATGCTGTTGACGAAAAATATTCCCATCACTGCAGAAGCCACTGGGGTTTGCACGACTGGCGCACCGCAGGCTGCCCATTCGGCCCCTCACCCCGCAAGCGCCCAGCAGGACCCCTCCCTCCAGCAGAGGCTCGGGTGGAAGTGGCACCTGAGAAGCAGTCTATCCTGGAGGCAGTGGTGCACTTGTTGGCCAGGTAGCGGGAGATGCGCCCCTTGTTCCGGGCAGCCGCCCGGCCGATGAAGGTGGAGTGGAAGATCAGGCCATACTTCGGGGTGTTGCCACGAGTCTTCAGGGCCCTGGAAAAGCAGGCAGTGAAGCTTGCTCTAGAGTCCCAACCCCCTGGGGATGGCGAGCGACCCTGCCAGCAAACGCCTCCCCAGCTGGACTCCCTTGGCTGGCTGCAATGCAGCGGCTCAGCCGGCATCCAGGGAAGTGAACGCACCTCACTGGTCTGAAGACCTCCCTGCTCCGACCACCCAGCCCTACCTGCTCCCCCAGGGAAGCAACAGCCAACGCGCTAGCCCTGCCTCCCAGAGAGGGAAGGTATCGCACCCCCCAGGCAGGCTGGCAGACGTGTGCAGGACAGGAAGCGGAGGGCAGCGCTGAATGTGCCTGGGGGAGCCATGTACCCAGCATGGGTTCTGTTGTGCAGCTGGGACCTAGCCCCCTCTCCTTGCCAGGAGGCCTGAAATCCTGGCCCCATCCTTGTCAGGCGCTGCCCCGCCCCACCCCTGCCTGCACCCCGAAGAGCTAACCTGCTGCATGGGCTCCCTGACAGACCCAGCCAGCAAGACGAAGGGAAGCTGTAGGGGTCGCTCAGAGACTGGGGCTGGTTTCTCACTCACACCCGCAGCCATGTCTGGCCAGCGTGTCGAGCCCAGCGGCCCAGGAGTCTGCCATCACCACGACCACCTTGCAGCTGTACCTGAAGAGGGCCTTCTCCGCCCCCAGGATCTGCACTGTTGAAGCCGGGTACTTGGCCAGGTTCGTCAGGCTGCCGGCGTGGGAGATCAGGCGGGCGCCCACCCCCCCACCAGCAGAGGCAAAGGAGAGAAGCAGGTGCTGCAATCCAGCTGCCCAGGCCGACACTGCATGCTGCCCCTTGGGCAAGTCAGCTAGTGGGCACAGGCTGCCCAGGCACAGATCAGGGGCGAGTGTCTCAGCACAGAGCTCAGTGGATTGACAGATATACACCAGAACATCATTTCTGTGGCGGGAAGAGCAGCGCGGCGTGCCGGCCGGGCAGCGAGGGCACTCACCACTTCCCCGATGAGGGCGGAGAGGCTAGGAGCCACCTGGCTCATCTTGGAGCGAAGATACTCCTGCAGGCCCTTGCGGTACTCGGACAGCGAGATCACCCGGCTGGAGAAGCTCTCGATGTTGATGAGGTCAATGGGGGAGATGTCCATCCCTGCCGGGAGAGGCTGTCAGCGCACCGCAGGAACCCCCCCCACACCCCCGGGAGGTTTTCAGGAGTGCCACTAACCCATGGACGAGCGGGAGGCATCCAGAATGGCCTGGGCCTTGGCGCTGTCCATCACAATCTCCTCCAGCCCCTCCAGACTCTCCTCGCTCAGCTCCTTGCGGTTCCCGATGTGCTTGGCCAGGCAGCAGTAGGTGTAGTTGTCGCTCACAATCTTGATCAGCTCCGGGAAGTGATACCCGTACCACTCTCTGCGGGAGCCAGAGGGGAGCAGTCAAGGAGGGAAGCATGGACCCGCCAGCTCCTCCCGCCCCATGGCCGTGTCTCCCTGCTAACAAGACAGCCCAGGTCACAGGCTCCCTGGCTGGGGTGTACGCAGGGCAGATGCTCTTCCTCCCCTTTCTGTGCAGTCAGCGCTGGAAGTCGCGCTGCCTGCGGTAAGCACGGGGAGGGACAGTGCACGTTCCAGCTAAGCCCCGGGCAAGCACCCCTGCAGCAGCCCTCACCTGACGCGCATGGAGAAGGTGTTGATGTCCTTGTCCAGCTGGTCCAGCAGGCTGATGGACTGGATGATCATGTTGTCCACCCGGTTGACGTTGAATTTCACTTTGGCTCGTGAGTAGCTGTGCCCCAGGCCCAGCTGTGCCTTGGAGGCCGACTGGGCAGTGAGGCCCTTCACCAGAGTGTGAAAGTGCAGGCGGATCCCTGCACAGAGTGTCTGGTGAGTACGGAACCCCTCGCAGCCACACCGCCCACCCTGTGACAAGCCAAGGAGGGCAGCCCCGAGTGAGCACCTGAGCTCCCACACAGGCAGGGCACCAGGGGACTGGACCAGACATGATCCCTAGGGGGCCTGCTAGGATCCCCATGCCAGAACATAGCCGTCTGGGCCTCGTTCGCGCACGCCCTCACCTCGTGTGATCTCTGCTACGACCCCGCCAGCCTGGCACTGGTAACCCAGCTCCTCTTGGATGGCAGCCCCGATTTTGGCATCGCTGACTCCCAGCAACACTTTCTTCTTCTTGGCCGGCAGGTTGGTCTCCAGGAGCAGCTTGAGGTCCTCATGGAGGATCCCTGCCCCAGGGAGAAGGAGTTATCGGATGGCGAGCCACAGGGCATGGATGGGAGCAAGAGGGCAGCAAGCTCCGCTCCTGGCCCAGCCACCCGTCGCAGGCTGACGGGGAGCAAGCCACCGGCTCAGCCTCACCTTCTGAGACTGCGTTGATGTTCTCCAAGGCACTCTGGGCGGATCGGAACGGGGAGAAGGCCACCAGTCTGACAATGCTGTGGAACTTGCCAATGTTCAGGATGCTCTCCTCCACCTGGGGAGGGCACAGGGCAGCAGGTGAGTAACACAGGGCAGGCTGGGGTACCACACCCGCAGGGGCCCAGGCGCACACAGCCAGGAGACCAGGTTCTGATGGAGCACAATGCAGCTAAAGCCCCGGCTGCACGGCCGCCCCCAACACGCATGGCAGGGATGCCGTCTCCACCGGCGGGAACACAGGCAGCAGCGCTGCAATCACCTGCCCCCTTCAGCGCAGCGCCTGTGCTCAGACACAGCGCAGCATCACAGCTTTCAGTGGATTGACAGATTTGGGCTGTGGATCACTGCACAAGGTGGGAGCCAAGAGCACGACCCGCCTGCCTGGCCACAGAGAGCCAGGCCTGCTGGCTGGGTTCACACTAGGGCCGTTAAGATGTGGGGTTCTGAAGAAACCCGGAAACACGGCTACACGTTTACACACCAGGGGGAGGGGCTCAGCGCCTGCAGGGAGCCGACTTAATCCAGCTGCACACAAGCAGGGGCTCCAGCGGAGCCATCTTCACTGCCCAAGGAAGCAGGGGCGGGGCAGGCAGCTTCCTAGCGTGTGCCCCTCTGTGCTGCTGCCTCTGTAGCAGAAGTGGCCATGTGGGGGAAGGGGGGTGCCCTTAAGGCGTGAAGATTAACTGATCAGCCCAGGCTCGCTGGTTAGGGTATGCTCTCACATCCCCCGGCCGCACTGGGGATGTAAAATCCCCCTTAATCAGTTAATCCCGTAAGCACTATGTTTAACCAATCAAGCACAAGATCCCAGGAGACCGCTCCAGCTTGGTCCCCTGGCCACACAGGGGCTGCTGCTGCTCCCTACTCCCACAACGCTGGGGCTGTTGCTGCCTGCTCACACCCCTTTGGGTACCAGTGAACCGGTTAACTAGTCACATCCCTCGTACACATGTAGCCCAGTCAGGGGCCTACCGCCAAGCAGCAGTCAACCAATCAAGCACAAGATCCCAGGAGACCGCTCCAGCTTGGTCCCCTGGCCACACAGGGGCTGCTGCTGCTCCCTACTCCCACAACGCTGGGGCTGTTGCTGCCTGCTCACACCCCTTTGGGTACCAGTGAACCGGTTAACTAGTCACATCCCTCGTACACATGTAGCCCAGTCAGGGGCCTACCGCCAAGCAGCAGTCCCATGCCTAGCAAGCCCCACGCTATACACAGCCGGTCCTGGGTACTTGACGG